GCGGGGGTGCGGGGTGCGGGGGCGGGGGTCCGGGGGTGAAACCCCTACCCCGGCTTGGGCCCCGGGGATCCCCGCGTGACAACCGTGGCTATGGCTGTGAGAATGGCTCTCCCTGATTTCCCCCGAGACTCGCCTTTTCCTTTTCCTTATTTTGCTCTTGCCGCACGCTTCTAGCGAGCAGGCAGGAGAAGCCGAGCGCAAGGTTTAGCGCTAGACCTTTGTTCGGACCAAGACCTGGTTTAGGTATGGCGAATTGCTCGCCAACCCATGACTGCTCTTATTTTTTTTCCTCGGGGGAGGGACGAGCGAATCCCATCTCAAAGGGGTTTTGCTTTTTAAATTACTAGTCGGACGTTGGTCCTGAGCCTGGAATTCCAGGTCCTTGCCCAGGACATCCCAGACTCTGGTCCAGCACAAAAGGGTTTCCCCCTTGAGTCGGGCTTACGCCTCTAGCTTATCGTCACCCACTGCCTAAAAGACAGGGGTGCCGCAAGGGCCGCACGACTCATCCTTCAGCTGTGCAATATCGTGAAGGAAGAACCTTTCACGATATTTTGCTTTCGACACCTGAGTGTCAAACGCAACCCCGAAACCCATGAGAGGGTGCGTGGATTTTTGTAACGCATGAAGCGTCGCCATAATAGCAGATCAAGTGAGTACACATGACTGAGCGTTATGATTCCCTTGACGGTTGCATTCATTTTATGCAACTTCGTGTGGGTCTCGCTTAGACACAAAGACTTTTATGAGTTATGGGTCAGGATGAATGAAAAAGGGACTAGGCTTATTTGTTTGTCTGAGTTATTTTTGTTTTGTCATATATCGCGTGGTTGAGTTAGGATGTCCTAGTCGACCCACGCTGAATCGCACGTGGGAGATCAGCGCCCCATCGTGACGATCTGCGTACGGGTCTGAGCTAGGCGTGGAACACGCGTACCCCCTATGCTACAACATACGAGAAACGCCCTCGGCTGGGCCACCTTCACGATTGCAAGTAAAAGCTTTCGCATGTGGTTCAGTAGCTCGGCGGGGATACGCCCACCCAAGGGATGGTGACATCTCCCGCGGGTGGAGGTAAGTTGTACCTCGCGAGACCCTGTCCTGTCGTAGGGACTCGATGGAGGTATAGTTGGCGCAATCGGTCGGAGCGGCTCCGCCGCTTCCCTTTTCGTGAAGCGACATGCGAATTCTGCCAATCCTGCGTGATGCGGCCGGAAAGGTCCCCCCAGCAGGGACCGCGCTCGACACTGGTGCGCTGATCACTGAGTTTGGGTTTGCAGACGATGTTACTCACTCTCTGGTGGAAGCCTACCGCGAGGATCAATTTATGTTCGAGATCACTCGCAGACTCGAGGCGAAGGACAAAATTACTTCTGCCGAGTTTGAGTTGGTCAACGGTTTGTCGTTCCTTGAGAAGGCCGGGAATAAACGTTTGTGTGTTCCCAATAGGGAGTCTTTGCGTAGTTTATTTTTAGGTGAGTGTCATGATGCCACCGGACATTTTGGCTCCAAGAAGACTGCAGCCAATCTGCTGCAGCGGTTCTGGTGGCCCACGATGATGAGAGATGCCAAGTTGTACGTGGAGACTTGTCAGGTCTGCCAAAGAGACAAGCCCCGTACACAGGCCCCTCTTGGGCTCCTCAAGCCCCTTCCGATACCGGAAAGGTCTGGTGAGAGCCTGTCCATGGACTTCATGGACACACTGGTCACCAGCAAGAGTGGAATGAGACACATGTTTGTCATTGTGGATAGGTTTAGTAAGTATGCTAGGTTAGTTGCAATGCCGGAAACAGCAAAGATTGAGTACGTCATTAGACTGTTCAAGGAGAACTGGGTCAGAGATTTTGGATTGCCAAAGTCTATCGTGAGTGACCGGGATGTCAGATTCACTAGCGAGTTGTGGAAGGCTGCAGCTGCAGAACAGGGGACATAGCTGCAGATGACCTATGGGAACCACCCAGAGGCCAACGGCCGAGCAGAGCAGCTGAATCACGCTGTACAACACCTGCTGCGGCATTACATCAAGCCCAACCAAGTGGACTGGGATGAGAAGCTTGCTCTCATCGCCAGTTTGTACAACAACGCTGTGCACAGCGCCACAGGGGTGAGCCCTAACAGCCTGCTACTAACTTTCAAGCCTAGACTGCCCCTAGACTTTCAATTACCCGAGAACCAGCAAACTGCTGCACCGGGTACACTAGAATTTGCTTATTGATATGAACAAACGATGCAGCAGGCAGTGGAGCAATGCAGAAAGCACAGGCGACAATGATAGAGTCTGAGAACAAACACCACCGCCCGTCCACATTTCAGGTAGGGGATCGAGTCTGGGTCAAGTCCTCAGAACTGGGACAGGAGCACTGGATTTCCCGTAAGCTCATGCCACAGTACTTTGGACCATGGGAGATTCTAGATGTCGTTGGGGATGAACCGGATGGTCCTTCTTATGTTGTTCGCATCCCTGGTCACCTACTCACATATCCTGTATTTCACGCCTCAAAGCTTGCACGCTCAGAGAACTGATCAGTTTCCCTCTCGTCGCTCTATGCTGGCCCCAACCATGGATGGAGAGGTTGACATCGATGACATCGTTGATCACAGGGAGATGCCAGTTCCAAGACCGACAGGCAGAGGACGTCCTCTGAAACCGAAGCTGCAGTACAGAGTTCGGTTCAGACATCACACGGGTCCAAAGGAGGATCGATGGTTCACCAGGGAGGAACTGATGCAGACAGCTCCTCAGGTTGTCACCCAGTATGAAAAGTCTCTGCAGAAGGGAAAGCGCTAGAACATTGAAGACTGAACTTCTCAAAGGACTATCGAAGTATGGAGGAGGGAATGCGAGGCACAGGCCCTCGATTTGCTTTACAGGGCCTATTTTTCACTCAGTCGGCCGCCCTAAGTGAACGCAGGTACGACCGAGGCCCTCAGGCCATTTTTGGGGTCACTACGCAACTGGGGAAATTTCAGGCAGTTGCGCAGCGCCAGTTGGTTGGAAGCGCCCAGGCCCAGGCTGCCTTGCATTGCATGTAACTGAGGCAGGCCCTGGGCCGGATACACAAAGTGGACCGAACAAAGGCTGAGGGCAGTTGGGTGCTGGTAACCACCACAGGCCCTGGGCCTGTTGACTTCGGACTGAGGCTCAGCCTCCCTGGGGCCTACCGGAAGCTGCTGGACCGGGGCCCGGTACTACCGAGCACAGCTTGCAGCCGCAGGCCACTTCGATATAGGGAAGGCCCTGCCTACGCATTGGACATTCGGGCACTGGCTGCTTTGTGCGGAAGCGCTGCTGCGCTATCTTCTGCCAGGCTCACGCGCTCACGCACTCACGGGCGAGCTGGAAGGAGCAGGCAGCCATAGCCGAGCTGCGCTGCTGAATGCTGGATGTGGCGCATGGTGGTCCTTGGGTGCAAGTGGCATCTGTGAGTTGGGGAACGAGGTTGAGTGATATGAGAGACATACCTGGTGCTTGACGCGTGCGGCATTGACCGAGGTCTGCTCGTACTTGGGAAGCTATTGACGTCATCAGTGGCATTGTAGTCTAGGCTAGATAGGATCTGCCATTCGTAGTCTGGGCGTTGAGTGCCAGATAGGATATCAACATTGGTTCTTCATTGATGATGATGAGACTATTCCAGCATTGTCAATTATGAGCTTTTGGTGTGCTCTTATTTGGTGAAACTTGTGATGCAATTCTTCTTTTGGTTCGAGGTCACGACTATCTGGTCTCATGTGCATGATGCTGTTTCATTGCTGAAGTCCGCTATTGCTCATCTTTCTTGCACGTGGGTCATCAGTCCGAAAGTATCTTGCCTGGCAGTCTGTAGTGGAGCGATCTCCATTCTTGGGCTTGCACCTTGGACAGCATTGCTACTCACGAGCTGAAACCCAAACACGAAGACTTTTCCCCAGAGCGTAAGGATGTCAGAGAAGCATATAATCTCAGCAAGCCACTACCAATGCATATTGTTTTTGTCCGCCTGGCTCAGGGTGGACAGGTAGCAGGACCTGTTAATAACATCTGGTCCGTGGTCCATCGGACTGCACAATGCCAAATTCAAAAATCGGGGCCTGTTCCGCATCTTGAAAGAAATATGCGGCACTGTTCTTTTCAAGAAGTGGGGTCCAGAAGGCCTCATTTTTTTTTTTTCCTTTCTTAAGGAGGCAGCGGCCTCCCGGGGCTGGGCAACCAAGAGGTTGCCCGTGACTCCCTGGTACCCTCCCCCCAGTGTGATGTGCTTGGTTCGACCGGAGGTCTGCCAGGCTGGTCGACCGCCTGGTCCGACCGGCAGGCTCCTGGTCCAGGGAGGGCCCCCCGGTCGTACCACGGACCAGCCCTGTTCAGCACCCTATTTATCTTTTAGTTTTTAAAAAAAAAATTCAACGACATCCTTTTTTTTTGTTTTTTTTTGGTCCATTTTAATTATCAATGTTGTTTGTGATCAACCTATAATGCGAAGTGTGTGAGGCAAAGCTGTTCTGTCGCAGTGCAAAAGGTAACGTGATTTCCACTGTTCCTATCTACCATTACGCAAAATCACAGCCACGAGGACGGACTTGGAAGAATCGGCAGGGACAGAAGATCCAGTTGAACTTGACTCTTGTAGGTGTGAGGATTGAGCCCTCAACGGGGCCTTGCCGACATGCATATGTTCTGGGCATAGGCCCCCAGCAAGCCTCGTGCCCGCCCTAAGTGAAGGCGGGCCAGAATATCCACGAGAGACCTTCATTCAGCATTTCACAAAGTGGGTATCAGACAGTTGCCGCACGCCAGTTGGTTGGAGTGCATCCTGAGCCTCAGACTCCTGCAAAGGCAGTTGAGCCCAGGGCCTCCGTTGGTCGAGCCCTGGGCGACAGTCTGGGAGGCCGACACATCACACATTGGTCCCTGGCCTCAGAAAAGCAGTATTTCGTCGTCAAGGCCGAGGAAACCAATGGGAAACCGGTACAGGGCCTGAATCTGGACAATGGCCCTAGCATAAGGGGCGCAACTGTATTATCTGGGCCCCATCTGCATTGGGCCTGGGTACAGGTACTGGGGCCCAGGCGCAGGCTCAAGGCAGACCACCCACACGCAACACTGGCATATAGGCAGAACAGGCGAGTGGGCAGGGATCTTCGCCATTGCGAGCAATGCCGGCACGCTGAAGCATTGTGAGGTGNCCCACACGCAACACTGGCATATAGGCAGAACAGGCGAGTGGGCAGGGATCTTCGCCATTGCGAGCAATGCCGGCACGCTGAAGCATTGTGAGGTGTTGCGCTGCGCTAGGCTGAGAGCAGGCAGGCTGGTGCTAAGCGGTAGGGCGCAGCCTGGGCACAGGGCGCTGGCGGCCATAGCCGGGCTGCATGAGGGCGCTGGAGGAGGTGAGGGCCAAGGTGGTTCTTCGGAAGGTGAAGGGCGCTGTGTGGGATAACAAGGGAGAGTGAGGGTGAAGAGAGAGTGACGTACCTGGTGGAGAGGAGGTCGGCAATGGTGTTGACGTCATCACTAGCTGGTCGTCAAGTCGTCTGGTTGCTTCCATGACTGTAGTTGTAGNGTGGAGAGGAGGTCGGCAATGGTGTTGACGTCATCACTAGCTGGTCGTCAAGTCGTCTGGTTGCTTCCATGACTGTAGTTGTAGGATAGGCTGTACAGTAGATAGGGTGCCTGGCGCCATTCAAGAGAGAGGGCTACTTCGGGTTATGCTGTTGGTGTTGCCCAATTGGGCTTGGACATTGACTCACGACTTTTGCTGTATCGTTCTCAAATGGATGGTCGCTTGGTTCCAATGTGTTATCTGCTCTTGCTTTGACTACTCCGACTTCAGTGTGATTTGCAATTGGGATTTCTTTGCTTCGTCCACATTCATGTTCCTTGCAATTTGGTATCGGAGCTGGTTCGATTCGCCGCTTACCTTGGTGTGCTGGCATTATACAGACTTGGTGCGTTCACGATGCTTCTTCGCAGTTGGTTCTTGTGACGTCAGGCCGATATTAGGCGCATTGCGCCGGAAGGCTGTACGGCTTGGGATGCCGTGGCGATGGCGGAATGTATGATTGGTGATGAGAGCATGCTGATGTGGCATTTGGCTGAGGTGGCACTGCATTGCATTGTGGCTGGTACCGAGGCTACGACCGGTCATCAAATGCACACACACTCAGCTCAATTGGTGAGAAATCTGTGGTTGGGGACAGCTATCTCCAGGTATGTTGTTCCCTTACCTTACCTACCCTCTCAATCTCTTCTTACCGCGAGGAAGTGAGTCCAACTTGAGAGTCCTCTCTTTTGGTGAGGTGTCGTGAGCGCTCTACCTTGAGAGACGACAATCTTCCCGGTGGTGCATCTGGAAGGAGAAAGGGCGGTGCCTTTGAAGGGCCCTGGTCGAAGCACGTGGGTCACGGTCACCATGCCAACCCAACGGGACTAGTACACACATGCGATGGCTGCTTTGTCCATGAGGGCACTTTTGCTGCGCTGATAGAGGGATGTGTGGACTGAACAGGCTTATGCAGACGCTCCCAGACCGTCTATAAACATTTCTGGATGGGGTTCCGATCTGTCAACTGGCTGTGATCGTCGTCCTGATTGCGACGTTAAATAATTCCTGAGCGACCTTGGGGGCAGTCCTTAAATAGGCCTCTTGATCAGCCAGATCAGTCGGACGTACGGCTCGTTGCAGGCGAGGATAAAGAAAGGGCAAGCCTGGTCATAAGCATGCACCTGGCGCACAGGGGTGGGCCGACATTGCACACCTATGACACTGCTGCTCAATGATGCTCATCGGTATGTTGGATTGAGGGGAGGGTAGGTTCCAATTGGTGCTCAATTGTAAACACAACCATACCCATTGTTCATACATCTGCAACATAGTTTAGTTTTATTGTTGATTAGTTGGTTGACAGACTGCTAGCACCTAAGAGACAGTTTAGTTTAGGACTGTTGTATACTACCATAGCCAGTTCTATGCAAAACTTCTGTAAGTGAACTAAACATGATATAACTAAATTATGTTTACGGTCTTTTGTGAATGTTGTAGGCTGCCACTTGATCGGTTAAGTAGGGGACCTGCCGGACACATTTATTTTTAGAAAATTAGGTGTCGGTCAGACACATGCTGCGGTAGGACTCTAGCAGGCGGCTGTAGTGCAGACAGTGTTTGCCTAACTGATGAGCGGGTCAGACACCGATGAGGGTAGAGTTGACGATGTGAGGCTGACACGTTCGAGATCACTTAGGGTCCCGCACGTGTATCAGGCCCTACGGTCGGGGGACGAAAGACGGCTTCGTGCCGAAGCTAGAGCCCGTGCTTACGCAGCAGCGAGGGAAACGGCACTAGCTGCAAGTCAGGCGTTGGCAACAGCAAACGCCGCAGCTAGGGAACGGGCAGCAGCAGCAGCCACTGCAGCAGCAATGGCTACCGCGGCAGCATCCTCTGCTGCATCCTCGTCTCGGACCCAATTGGGAATGCCCCCTGGGCCCACGGGTACTTCCGGATCAGTAGGTTCTAATCAGTCCACAAGTCAAATGGCGGGCTCGCAGTTCAATCCGTTGACCCCATGCGGCAGGGAGCTATTAGAGCTCCAACAAGTCGAAAGGATCCGCGCTCGGTTAGAGAGGGAACTGAAGCAAGCAACCGATAGAGAAAAGGAGATCAAAAATAGAACAGCTAGGCTTGATACGTTAGAGGCAGACAAAGCTACATTAGAGGGTTTCGACGAGTCAGTCATGTCTGATGAAATGAAAGTGTTGAAGGCCAGCATACTGTCGCTGCATGCGCACGTGGACAGTAGGTTGGATTTTATGCAGAATTTCTTGGACCAAATCTTGGACCTTCTGCAAAGGCCAGGATTACGTCCAGCAGCACAGTCGCCGTTGCTGTTAACGGCGATGTCAGGCCCCTTTCCGGTACAAGCTGACACACAACCAAGTGGTACGTCTGCAGCAGCCGCACAGACTGTTGCTTCTTCTTCTTTTGGTCCAACGGCTGGAGTTACACCACAGCCGCAACAAACTGTTCCACCACAGGGACAGCAGCAAAGTCCATGGTACCCAAAGACCCCAATGAAACCGCCCCTTGCCTTCTCCGGTGTGAAGAAGGACGAGGAACTCAACACTTGGTTGAGAACAGTTCCAATGTGGGTAAGGACAAAGAGGACATTGCAGGAGGAGGAGGTGATTACTGCTGCATCTTACCTTGAGGGTAAGGCAACCAAATGGCTGGATGGGATAGTAGCGAAGGCCGGGTTCGGACGACGCATGGCAGACTGGGGTAAGACCCTCCCTTTAGAAGAGTTCTTGGATATGGTAGAAGCTCGCTGGCATAATCCGCAGGCGATGTTGAGACTGGACCAGCGAAAGTACAAGTCAGTCAGAGAGCTAATGTCTACCGTAAAGAACCTCATCGTCGTTCCGGGTATACGCTACGATGACCAGGTCTTATTGACCATGTTTCTAAGATGTATGCCCGAGAATCTCAGGACTTTGTTGGCCAGCGAGGCTCGCCTCGAGTATCATTCCTTTGATACCTTCTCTAGAAAGGCCTTAGATTTGGAGGCTACTCTAGGAAGTGCTCAACCTACTCCAGTAGATGGGAGGAAGAAGAAGAGTCCTCAGGAATGGAAGAAGAAGGGTAGTAGATTGATGATGGTTGAGTCCGATGGGACTCAAACTGAAATCAAAGAACTTACCGACCTGATAGGCGGTTCAGAGTACGATGGCGAGGAAGTAGCTAAGGGTAGCACCCTCGCCGGAGTTGTAAAGACTAAGGCAGGTGGCCGAGGTAAGGGCCATCAAAAGAGTCAAGGGCAGACCGCCTCCAATAAGTCCAAAGCTGCAGATTGGGTTAAGGCAGGTCTTGATCAGGAAGTGTGGCGCGACCGCCGAGTGCGTGGTGCTTGCATCAACTGTGGTGAATACGGACACACCCAGTACAAGTGCAAGAATGCAAAGGTCACGCAGAAGATACCCCCTAAGGGAGGGGTACCTTCTCCCCAGGCTTCTAGCTCGGGAAACATGTGAGGCCAGTGGAAGTTTTAGCTGCTTCTACTCATGGTGAAGTGGGCCAAATACCCTCCCCACTTCATGAGAAGGCCATAGCTAATGACTCTTTAGTCACCCTGCAGACTCATCTAGACCAAACTATGCTCTGTACGTTGGATGTGTCAGAAGCCTTAGAAGATGTAGAAAGTGAGTGGTCAAGCAAGGACCCTCGCGAATCTTGGGTGGCACTAAGTAAAGGTCCTAGAGGGGAACATTTCGTCGTGGAAGTTGTTGTAGGAGGCCGCAAATATGGTGCCTTCATAAACATCGGCTCCACGCGGAATTACATAAGTCGCGACTGTTTGGAAAGGCTGCACCTAAAGGACCAGGTACAACACCTTAGTAGACCGGTAGCATCTACTTTGGCCAACAAGGAGCGCATGGTTGTCACAGACTATATCAAGGATGTAGTCTATACCTTCTCCTATGGAGGAGGGGAACTTAATCACAAGATTTCGTTTCTGGTTAGCGACGACTTACCATTTGATATGTTGTTAGGAATGTACTACCTTGAGGTTGCCAAGCCCCAGTTTGACTGGGACAAGAAGGTGCTAAAGCATAAGTTGCCTGATGGAAGGACCGTGAGACTGGCTAAGTACAAGGCCAATAGTTTAATAGAAACCTATGGCTGCTTGTGTGCATCAGCGTTCTACAATTACTATAAACAGAACCAAGAGGAGGGTATGTACCTAGTGTATGTCTCTGAGAAAGGGGAGGCCGTTAAAACACCCCCACAGATAGAACACGTCGTTGCTAAGTTCCCTGATCTGTTCAAAGAGCCCACAGGAGTCGTAGATAGGGAGATTGTCCATGCCATAGAAATGATTCAAGGGAGTAAAACCCCAAAGGGAAGGATCTATAGGATGGCTCCGGCCGAGTTGCACGAACTTCGGCGACAACTGAAAGAGCTGACAAAAAAGGGTTGGATACGGTCGAGTACTTCCCCCTTCGGATCTCCAGTGCTATTTGTACCAAAGAAGGGGGGAACATTGAGGATGTGCATTGATTACAGAGGCCTCAATGCCATCACAATGAAGAACGCAGAGCCTCTACCTCGCATAGACGACCTATTGGATAGGGTGCAGGGATGTAAGTACTATAGCAAGATAGACTTAAAGTCCGACTACCATCAGATTGCTATAAGACCTGAGGATCGGCACAAAACTGCATTTCAGACTAGATACGGTCTGTACGAGTTTGTGGTGATGCCCTTTGGCCTTTGCAATGCGCCGGGTACATTCCAGCACGCCATGAATAGGATCTTCCATGACTACTTAGATAAGTTTGTCGTCGTGTACCTTTACGATATTCTCATCTTTAGTAAGTCTGTCGAGGAGCATGCACAGCACGTAGAGACTGTACTATCACTCCTGCGACAGCACAAGTATAAGGTCAACCTAGAGAAATGTGAGTTTGGACGCACTAGGATCTTGTACTTGGGTCATGAGGTATCCGCGGAAGGAATTAGGCCGGAAGATGCGAAGGTGGCTAGTATCGGGGACTGGCCACGACCTCCGACTGTTACTGAGGTCAAATCTTTCTTAGGGATGTGCAACTACTATAGGAACTTTGTGAAAAACTATTCCACAGTCGCCTCTCCTTTGACTGATCTAACTCGACTTGACACGCCATGGGACTGGAGTGACGAGTGCGCGGCTGCTTTCAAACGATTGAAGCATGCACTCATGAATCATGAGGTTCTCATGGTGCCCGATCCTCAGAAGCCTTTCATTGTGACCACTGACGCAAGCCAATACGGCATTGGCGCAGTGCTGGCTCAACAGGATGGGAAGAAGTTGAGACCGATTGAGTATATGAGCAAAAAGATGCCATCAAAAAAACTGGCAAAGTCCACCTATGAAAGGGAACTCTATGCTCTCTACAAGGCACTTGTCCATTGGAGGCACTTTCTGTTGGGACGGTTTTTCTATTTGAGAACTGACCATCAGACCCTTAAATGGATCAAGACTCAACCGACTCTTTCTGATGCACTAAAGCGCTCGATTGAGGTCATAAATCAGTATGACTTCAAGCTAGAGTATCTAAAGGGAGAGTACAACAAGGTTGCAAATGCGCTATCACGTAGGGCAGACTACCTAGGGGCGCTAGCTTCTGAGTTTGGTGTATCTGAGGAAGTAACTCAATCGTTGGTGGGAGCCTATCAGGAAGACCCTATCACGATGGACATTATACGCAAACTTCAGGCGAAAGATAAGGCCGCATAAGATGAGTTTGTGATGGTGGACGGGCTATTCTTTCTTGATAAGGCCGGATTTAAAAGATTACTTATTCCATCTAGTGAGCATTTGCGCAGTTTGTTTCTAGGAGAATGTCATGACGCAACTGGACACTTTGGATACAAAAAGACCAGTGCCAATCTAGTACAACGATTTTGGTGGCCCGAAATGTGCGGTGATGCAAAGAAGTATGTGGAGACCTGTCAGGTCTGTCATCGGGACAAGCCGCGAACTCAAGCACCGCTTGGGTTGCTGAAGCCCTTACCTATCCCCGCTGGTCCGGGACAGAGCATTTCCATGGATTTCATGGACACCCTGGTGACCACTAGGAATGGCAAGAGGCACATCTTTGTTATCATAGACCGATTCACCAAGTACGCTAGACTAATTGCTATGCCAGAGATCGCAAGGACTGAACACGTCATCAAGTTGTTTATGGACAACTGTGTGCGTGATTTTGGACTGCCAAAGTCAATCATTAGTGACAGAGATGTCCGCTTCACAAGTGAGTTGTGAAAGAAGACTGCTGAGCAAGTGGGCAGTCAACTTCAGATAACCTCCGGGAATCATCCCGAAGCCAACGGACAGGCCGAGCAGATGAACAAAGTTGTACAACACCTGCTGAGGCATTACATCAAGCCCAACCAGGATGACTGGGATGAGAAGTTGCCTCTCATCGCCAGCCTGTACAACAACGCTGTACACAGCAGTACCGCCGTCAATCCTAATCAACTGCACTTGGGATGGAAGCCTAGATCAACTTTGGACTTCCTCCTGCCTGAAAACCGACCCTCTGCAACTCCGGGCACACTTGAGTATGGTGTGCAGTATGAGAAGTTGCTATAGCAAGTTGTCGAGCACATCAGGAAATCTCAGCAAGCAATGATTGCTTCTGAGAACAAACATCGTCGACAGTCCTCATTTCAGGTAGGGGAACGTGTCTGGGTCAAGGCTAGTGAGCTAGGACAGGAATTCAGTATCAATGCCTCAGTATTTTGGTCCCTGGGAAGTCCTGGACATAGTTGGGGATGAGATGGATGGTCCTTCCTATGCTATCCGTATCCCTGGTCAACTGCGCACGCACCCTGTGTTTCTTGCCTCAAAGCTTGCACCTTTCGCTGAGACAGAGAGACAGATCAATTTCCTTCAAGGAGATCAATGCTGCCCCCAACCATGGATGGCCACGTGGACATCGACGACATTCTGGATCACAGAGACATGCCTGTTCCCAGACCTCTTGGCAGAGGAAGACCTCCAAAACCCAAGAGAGAATACAGAGTCAGATTCAGGCATCACACACATCCGAAAGAAGATCGGTGGTTCACCGGAGAGGAACTGATTGAAACAAAACCTCAAGTGGTGGCGGAATATGAAAGACAGCTAAAGGGGAAGGCACCTGCGAAGTAAGCATCTCAGTGGCCTTTCGAAGCTAAGGGGGATGGAATGTGAGGATTGAGCCCTCAATGGGGCCTTGCCGACATGCATATGTTTTGGGCATAGGCCCCCAGCAAGCCTCGTGCCCGCCCTCAGTGAAGGCGGGCCAGAATATCCATGAGAGACCTTCATTCAACATTTCACAAAGTGGGTATCAGACAGTTGCCGCACGCCAGTTGGTTGGAGTGCATCGTTAGCCTCAGACTCCTGCAAAGGCAGTTGAGCCCAGGGCCTCGGTTGGTTGAGCCCTGGGCGACAGTTTGGGAGGCCGACACATCACACATTGGTCCCTGGCCTCAGAAAAGCAGTATTTCGTCGTCAAGGTTGAGGAAACCAATGGGAAACCGGTACAAGGCCTGAACCTGGACAATGGCCCTAGCATAAGGGGTGCAACTGTATTATCTGGGCTCCATCTGCATTGGGCTTGGGTACAGGTACTGGGGCCCAGGCGCAGGCTCAAGGCAGACCTCCCACACGCAACACTGGCATATAGGCAGAACAGGCGAGTGGGCAGGGATCTTCGCCATTGCGAGCAATGCCGGCACGCTGAAGCATTGTGAGGTG